CTCCCTGACCTCCCTGTTCTGGAACATGAGCAGCCGACGGAAACATCACATCATTCTCGTGAACAGACGATACGCAGGGTATGTATTGAAGCTACCACACAGGCCACGGCAGTAGCTAAGACCAATCGTGCCTGACGCACTAAGACGACAATTACCGGTCAGCACTAGCCATCGCCCTGCGACCGCGAAGGATGACTGGGGAGGCTGGAACGGCCCGTTCCCAGTCGCAAGGAATGATCCCGAAAAGGTGTCAGGTCAATATCCGAGTAGGCAATCGAGATGTTCAAGTACAATACGGCGATGCAAGACATTCACTATACATTGCAGCACTCATAGCCCGAGAGATTGGCTCCGACAGCACTGCGCTACGCACAGTGTTGACATTCGTAGCCAGCCTATCAGCGGGGAGACCTGCTTTGACATTTGGCTATGTGCCGACCAAGAAAGGTGCGCTTCAGATGACGACTGCGAGTCGTCTATCCCCTAAGGTACATTTGGCCCTACAATATCTTATCATAAATTTCTTTCGCATTGAAAAAGAAGTTTCGGTCAGATTAGCCAAGGGCATCCATGAGCTATCTCCGGTTACTTATGCCGACAGCTGCACATTGGCCCATTGCGACAGCGACGTGAATCCAGGATTCCATTACCACGAAGCAGAAGGTACTTCTCTGAATATATATATATATATATATATATATATACACACGATAACTAGATCAGCACATCCACGAATCATCCAATCCCTGAAGCCCACTAAACCGCAAGCAGGGCTCGATCAGGGCATGCCAGAATTTGAGGACTTGGCTGATGCGCCGACACCAGAAGGAACCACAAGAGTAGCTTCAGAAGCCGAACCAGCACATGATGACGGACGGCTCTCTACGATTTACGAGGAAGCCGCAGCTGATCTTGAGTCGCTTGTTATGGAGGTGTGGTACGCAGAACTGCAAGAGGAAAGAGAATTGTTAGAGGCAGCTCCACCAGAGGACTTCTTTACCATACCCACACAGATGGTTCCGGATCAGAGCGCGCTGATCACTGCAGTTGATGAACAGCGGGGACACTTGCCGAAGTGGGGACGCACTCGCTACTCCGATACCGAGGAGACGTACTACGCCCCCCTGTGCACCATGGTCGAAGACGACAGCTACGGACTCGACTTAGACGAAAATGGTCGATACGTTGAACTATGCTTTACGCCAGAAATGTCGAAGGTAGTCTTGTCCCAGCAGCAACACGTGATATTAGATGCCGACCGGGTGACCACTATGCGAGTACGCGTTACAGCCGCTGCAAAGCGAGCCGTGGTCGTCCAGGAAGACGACCCCCTCGCTAAAGCTGACATCCAGGCGAATCCCGATAAAGTATCGAAGGCCCTCTTCACTGAGCTCAAGACATGGTTCGACAACAAATGCTTTAAGATGCAGGAGATAGCCGAAGCGTCGAACATTATGACTTCGAGATACGCGTGCAAATGGAAACTCGTGAAGAACGAAAAAAAGGCGAGATGGAACGTACCATCCGACTACGCTTGGTACTCCGAGGCTTCATGGACCTTGAAGCTTTCGACGTAGAAACATGTTCGGGAACAGCAAGAAGGTCAAGTCAGAGGTTACTCGCTCGCGCGGCAGCGTGCAAGAAGCAGTGGATCATTGCTTCCCTCGACATCAACATGGCCTTCCTGAAGGGATTGGCCGATCAGGAACTTGCTATGGCCACTGGTGAAAAGGAACGTGTGGCGTGCTTTACTTTGCCGCCTGGATCGGCCACTGTGCTCCGTGCTCTTCCAGGATTGGAGAACTACGACGAGTCGAAGCACTGCCTACAGTGCTTGAAACCGGGCACAGGCACTAAGGACGTTCCACGGGCTTTCTCACTTAATCTCAGAAGACCAACCAGAGGATTTGGCCTCCGACCCACGTCTCACGACGAGGAGTTCGAGACGAGCAATAACTTGCTCACGGTCAAGCATGTTGATGACATTAATATGGCCGGCACTGAGGGCACCATTGACAACTATGTCATATGCGTTGAAGATATTTTCTGTAAGTGTAAACTCCACAAGCACGCATATACTAACTGTGCTGTGAGACACACTAAGAAGGAGGACGGCAATGTTACCTTGGATCACGATGAATATATTCAACAGATCCGTCCTATACAACACCCCGAACTAACCGGCGCTGACGCTGACGCTCAAGCAACCAAGATGGTGGCAGACATGTTCGGCAGTCTCAGGGGTGCGCCAGCATACGCGCTGATCACCCAGGTGTGGTTAATGGTGTATGTTGTATCTCTACAGCGCGTCCAAGAACCGACCAACATTCAAGCGCGGCGATTGATCGCGACCACCAGAAAGTCACAGGCCTGCCCGAAGAAGATCGTCTACCAGGCGATGAACCCCACGGGCGAGGTCGACTTACATAGCGACTCAGGATATCGACGCCTGAGTGGAGACGGCGACGACGACGTCGAAGGCTATGGTATTCGCGGGGCAAACCTGCTACGACGTGGACGCACGTCATCTGGTAAGCCTGTCGTTCACTTGATTGATGCGTACTGCAAGTCTCACCGCTTGCAGGTCTGCTCGAGCTATTGCTCCACGCGGGGCCGATCGCGCCCATTCAGTTGAAAGATATACTTGAGTTGGGTGGCCTGAGCATCAAGGTCACTTTGACCATCGATGCTGAGTCTGTTTTTAAGTCCTTGTCAAGCAAAGACTTGAAGAAGCCGACTGAGTGTATCCTTTTAGGACACATCAGTTGGATACGAAAGATGATGGAGCGCACAATCGTGCACAGAATTCAGTGGTGTGCTGATACCCGCGATATGACTGCGGATGGCCACATCAAGGGGAGCATCGACAGAGAAATGCTCCTACAAGTCATGATAGGTATACAGACCTGCAAACATGACCTGAAGAGACATACTCCATATCTGGCCGGCCAGACATAAAATGTCATACATATGCGAGGCAACATGCTGGCGGGTCCACCTTCATTTGGGCCCGTTTCTTGTCCCGACCTTGTGTAGGTTCGCTGCTGTGCCTGCTGTATAGGGGCGTCGGGCTCACGCTTCGTCTCCTTCCCCCCCCGACTCTAGAGCGAGCTGAGGGACGTAAGGCGTGTAAGCGAGCGTGCGCCCGCGGCCGCGTCGGCTCAAGCGGCCGGCCGCCCAGATTTGACTGTGCCTCACCGCGAGGCACACAATCGCTATCGAGACCAAAAAGATCTTCCTAGTGCTTGAGATGGTATCTCCTCTCATACTGGGACTATCGTTACTACGGTACAACAGAATGGGAGCTCGGCTTCGCCTGAGGCGAAGCTGTTGGCTGGGCTTTCCAGCCCCCTTCAAACTCGCAGGGCCCACCTCGACTCGATCCGATCGGGCCGACCCGACCCAGCCGGGTCCTCGTCCCCGAAAGTGCCACAGTACGACCCGAGGCGGCCCGATCCAGAGGAGGGCCAGGTGAGGCAGTGGCAGTTGGACATCGGGGGGCCCCGTCGACGAAGCGGCTGGACGCAGCTCGGAAAATTTGTGCGTTCGGACCCTGGGAAGGGTGGGCCCCATCGGACGGGGCTGGGGGCCAGGACGAGGATAAATCCGTTCCAGAGCGTCCCGGAACGCTTTCGGGGCGAACCGGAGCGCTGTGAGGGGGCCGCGGCGCCCGAGACAATCTCCAGAACCGCTGGATCTCAGTGATTCTCGATGCACTCTCACGCGAGGCTGGCCTCGCCCTGGCTTCGTCTTGGGGGGACAAGGGGCAGATTTCCATCTGCTTCGGCTCGCCCTGCTCCGACCGGCGCCTGCACGGCGCCGTTTTGCGCAGCCTGGCGCGGCCGAGCCGCTACGATCCCGCCCCCGGTGCCGGCGCGGCCCGTGGCGCTGCAGCTGCAGGCAACCGAGCCGCCCCGAGCTGGCGGCCCGCTGCCAGCTGCTCCGGGCCGCCACCGCCGGTCGGAGGAGGAGGAGGTGCCGATGCCGCTGCCCTTGGCCCGTTGCCCTCTTTTTCCCGGAGAGGGTGCAGGCCCAGGGTTTTTCTTCAGTGGGTTTGTGCCCACCCGGGAAGGGGCCTGTACAGTCGGACTGAGGCACAAGATCGAGGTGGGTTCGGGGTTACCATCGTGTTCTTCGTTCTTCGTGTTTGTTGGATGTTCTCGTGCATCCTGGGGAGGGTGCCCCTGGATGTTCTGTTTGTTTTGGCCGACGGAGGGTCTCACGTTCTTGAAGGATGTTCTTCTGGCCCAGGTCCGACTGTGACGGGGGGGGCAATACCTGGGGGGGGGCCCGCAGGAAGGTGGCCCCAAATGGTCCCTAAATTGCCACCGCGGGCCCAAGAGGTGCGCGAAAGGTGCACGTCACGTTTTATGCCCCCCCTCGGCGGCGAAATCCGGAACCTACCCTCGCCGATCCACGATTCAGGCAATTCGACGGGCGGCGGGGGTAGGGCTTGGAATTCGCCGAACTCGGCGAAATCCGAACCCTACCCCCGCCCCCCATCGATTCAGGAGAATCGATCATAGGCGGGGGTTCGATTCGGATATCGCCACCGAAGGTCGCTGGGGGGTGGGGGGCAGCGTTGTTTCCAGGGCCAGGTCTCAATACGCTCGACCAGCGCGTTTGATCCGTCAATAGCAACCCTTGCGATCCCCATTCGCGAGAAGAAGCTCAGATCTTAGGTCTGCTCTTACCGACGACTGGGCGGCTTAGGTCTGCTCTGACCCTGCGAGCATCACCCCCGCCTCCGTCGCCCCAGAAGCCCAGATTGCGTTCGCTGCCCTCCAGCGAGCTTCAACCCAGAATGCCCCCCCATAGACGAGTCGGCATCGCTCGGACGTGTGCATTCTCTCCTCGGCGAGGGCCCTCGAGGAGCATCCTGGATCATCTTGCGGGCAGCACAGGGGCAAGGTCGTACGAGCGATGTGCGAGACGAGCACCCGACGCCGCGCGCTGCCGATGGTCGGGAGCGTAGGCTTCAGGGAAAGGGCCTATGAGCGATGGGCGAGACGAGCACCCGACGCCGCGCGCGGCCGAGGGTCGGGAGCGTCGGCTACATCGCGCCCGAGGTGCTCACCCTGCCCTGCCCGCCGCAGACGACCCAGGTCCCCCCCCTGCGCGGCGCGCGGCTGCCTGCTGCCCGCTGCCCACCCCCGCCGCTGCCCTCGGGCCGGGGGCGGCCCTCGCTGCGCGCGGCAGCGTCGTCGTCGTCGCTCGTCGTCGTCGTCGTCGTCGTCGTCGTCGTCGTCGTCGCTCGTCGTCGTCGTCGTCGCTCGTCGTCGCCTGTCGTCGTGGTCGTCGTCACGCGGCGTCGTCGTCACGCGGCGTCGTCGTCGTCGCTCGTCGTCGTCGTCGTCGTCGTCGTCATCGTCGTCGTCGTCGTCGTCGCTCGTCGTCGTTCGGCGCCGTCGTCGCTCGCCGCCGTTCGGCGTCGTCGTCGTCTCTCGGCGTCCTGGCGCTGGCGGCAGCCCCCCGGAGGGCGAGCGGCACGGCGCCGAGCGACGACGAAGCCAGAGCGGAGAGGACGACGAGCGGAGACGACGACGACGAGCGACGACGAGCGACGACGGCGACGACGACGACGACGACACCGCTGTGCTGTCCGAGGCGTCACCACCACCACGGCGCCGAGCGACGACGAAGCCGGAGCGGAGAGGACGACGAGCGGAGACGACGACGACGACGAGCGACGACGAGCGACGACGGCGACGACGACGACACCGCTGTGCTGCCCGAGGCGGCACCACCACCACCACCAGAGGGCCCACCTCCATGCCGCTTGGACGTGTGTGTGTGTTTTTTCCTCGGCGAGGGCCATGGAGGAACATCTTGGACCATTCTCGAAAAATATATAAGCGCACGAAAGCGAAACAGTTCGCGGGAAATGGGCGCCCGAGCGGTGGCAAGATGCAGCGATGGGGGTCCACGGTGCCTCCCCGAGTCGGGAATAGGGGGGGGGGCTCGGGCGAGCGGGGGGAGGGGGAGGGGATGGGGGGGGGCGCCACGACACCACCCCCGTGGCTCCTTGCTCTGGTTGTGGCGGTGTCGCTTACAATCGGCCCGAGGCAGAAGGTCGAGGTCGGTTCGGGGAGGGTACCCTGGTGTTCTTCGTGTTTGTTGGATGTTCTCGTGCATCCTGGGGAGGGTGCCCTTGGATGTTCTGTTTGTTTTGGCCGGCGGAGGGTCTCATGTTCTTGAAGGAGCCCTTTTCCTTCGGCAGCGGCTCATGGGAGCCTCGTGTACCCTCGCAAGTCCGTGTTTGGAGCGCATTGGCGTCCGTTAGCGTCGGGTAGTCGGGGAGATAGCGCCGATCTAGCGCCCATCAGCGTCGACTAGCATCGATTCGCGAGAGCCAACGAGATGGTATGGGAGGCTCCCATGAGTTACAGCCGGAAGGCGAGTCCCACACCGCAGATCTCTGGAGATGTGGTGTTTCAATCCCGGCGCTAGTCCTCGATGTCGGCCTCCGTCGGGCCCCCTTTGTCCGCCGCCGGGCGAGATTACGGATACGCTCCGCGGCGACGAGCAGAGACCTGCATTCACCTTCTCTTCGGGCTGCGCACCGTGCCGCGCAGGACGTCGCCGGTGCTGCGCGGGGCGGCAAGCGGCCCCCCACGCGTGGTGCAGCCACTTGCAGCTCATCGCGCTCGCGAAGTGCTGCTCACTGCTCCCGTGTCGTCGAACCACAGGGGCCCCCAGGGAGGGCGTCTGGAGCGGTCGCTATCCGTTTCGCTCTCGCAGAGCGTCGCAGGCGTGACACTGCCTCAACGCCACAGGGGGTGCGCTGGGGGTGCGGTCGCTGTCCGTTTCGGGCTCGCAACGTGTGGCAGGCGTGGTATTTTCTCGGTGCCACAGGGGGTGTGCTGGGGGTGCGGTCGCCATCCGTTTCGGCCTCGCAAAGCGTGGCAGGCGTGGCACTTTCTCGACGCCACAAAGGGGGTGCGCCGGGGGTGCGGTCGCTATCCGTTTCGGCCTCGCAAAGCGTGGCAGGCGTGGCACTTTCTCGATGCCACAAGGGATGCGCTGAGGGTGCGGTCGCTATCCGCTTCGGGCCCGCAAAGAGCGGCAGGCGTGACACTTCCTCGACGCCACAGGGGGTGCGTTGGTGTGGCAGACGTTGTACTTCCTCGACGCCACAGGGGGTGCCTTGGGGGTGCGGTCGCTATCCGTTTTGGGCTCGCAAAGTGTGGTGGGCGCGGCGCTTCTCCTCTCCACTCTCCTCCCTCCTCTCCTCTTGACTGGCGTCACCAACGATGTCGGCGGGGCAACGGCCACCAACATCATTCTCACATACTTCACTTCAGCTATCATCACTCCAACCATAATGTAAGTACGTGGGGTTCCTCGGTGGCGTAATTTTTCCGAAATCTCTTTTTCCCCCTCTCCCATCTCCCCTCTCCCTCCTCCCCCCTCCCCGAACCCCGAACTTTATTATCCCCGAGGGGGTTAGTACCCTGGGCACAGGGTTGCTCCTTTTCTCGCCCTTCCCCCCTCTCGCCCTCAGCAACCTCCTCCTCCTCCTCCTCCTCCTCCTCTTCCTCCTCCCCCTCCTGGCCACGAGGTCGACTGTTTCAGCGCCGGGGTGCTCCTGTACACGTGCCTGGCTGGCCACGGGCCCTTCCAGGGCAGGAACCTGAAAGAGGTCCTGGCGACGCCCCCAGATGCCCCCCCAGGGCGGAGGAGGAGAAGGAGGAGGAGGAGGAGGAGGGAGGGAGGGAGGGGGAGAGGGAGGGAGGAACGATGATGAGGAGGAGGAGGAAAGGAGGAGGAGGAGGAGGAGGAGGAGGAGGAGGAGGAGGGAGGAGGAGGAGTTTCTCCTCCTCTTCGTCCTCCTCCTTCTCATCCTCCTCTGCCTCCTCCTCCTCCCCCTCCTCCTCCTCCTCCTCCTCCTCGTCCTCCTCTTCCTCCTCCTCCCCATTCTCTCGCGACGCCCCGCCTCCTCCTCCTCCTCCTCCTCCTCCTCCTACTCCTACTCCTGCTCCTCATCCTTATCCTCCTCCTCCTCCTCCTCCCCCTCCTCCTCCTCCTCCTCCTCCTCCTCCTCCTCCTCTCCTCCTTCTCCTTCTCTTCTCTCATCATTCGCTTTATCCTCCTCCTCCTCCTCCTCCTCCTCCTCCTCCTCCTCCTCCTCCTCGGTGACAGCCCCAGGTGCCCATCCCCAGTGTACTGGCATCGGGGCAGAGAGAGAAAGATAGAGAGAGAGAGAGAGGACGCGGGGCGCCGAGAGAGAATGATGCTGCCCCGCTCGGCCGCGCGGCCCCCCGCTTTGGCATCGCTCGGACGTGCGTATTTCTTTCCTCGGCGAGGACCATCGAGGAGCACGTGGGGCCGTCGTGCGAAAAAACACAGAAGAAGAACAACAAAAACGGCGTAAACATAAAATTTTGGCGCCTCGCGCGGATTTCTTGGATCCGTGCTGGTCTCCCCCAGCGGCGCCTCCAACGCTGCCCCTGGCGCACTGCGCGCACCAGGGAGGGGTGGCCGACCGCAGATCCAAGAAATCCGCGAGGAGAGCCACATGTTTACGTGTATGCCGTCCTCTCTGCTTCCAAAGTGAGCGCACGACGTCGAACAGCTCACGGGACATGGACGTCCGAGCGATGGAGGGCCGCCCCCTGCGGGCGCGCCCGCGACGAGCCAGCTCCCGCGCGGAGCGCTGCGCGCCGGCCTTCGGTTGCAGCAGGGCACGCTCCAGCCAGCTGCGCTCCAGAGTTCCCCGCGGGCGGCGCGCGGGGCCGGGGGCCGTCCGCCGACGACGACGCAGACGACGACGATGACGACGGCGACGACGACCACGACGACCACGACGACCACCACGAGCACCACGACCACCACGACCACCACGACCACCGCGACCACGACATCGACGACGTGGTCGTCGTGGCCGCCCGACGGTCTGTCGGAAACACCCTGCTTGCCTCCAGGGTGCCCTGGGTTTCTTGGGCATCGACGGTTCTACGATGGAAAACGTGGCGTCCCCGCACCAAAAATCGATGGGCGTCTTGGGGTCTCAGGTCTGGGTTTTTTTTTGCGGAGGGTTTCTCGTGGTCGAGCTCCGACTGTAACGAGGGGGGCGATGAATGAGGGGGGGCAGCGAGGGCTGCCGAAAAGGTGCCTTTCGGCCCCCCAGGGGGGCCTTTAGGGCCGAAAAATGCCACCCTTCTCCCCCCTCCATTGGGCGCCCCCACTGGCTCCAGTCCGGGGCTCTGTGTATGGGCGCGATGTCCTGGTCTCGCGGGCGCCCCGCGTGGGTTGTCGACGCTGCAGCGGCGCGCGGGCAGCTCGCTGCTCCCAGGGCCCTGCTGGCGCATGCCCAGTCTGAGAGCGCGTACTCCGAGGTGTTGAATACGGTCGGACCGAGGTAAAAGATCGCGGTCGGTGTGGGGAGGGTGCCCTAGTGCGGCGGCGGGTCCCGTGTTCTTGAAGGAGGTTATTTTGTCCTAGGTCTCGCCGCATCCCCCCCCCATGTTGCCCCGTCCGACGGCCCATTCCTGCACTGGCCCTTCCCCGCGGCCGCTCTCTCGCAACCAGCGGCGCCAGGCGCGGCGTGCCTCGCCTGCGCGCGCAGGCAACCACGGCGGAGAAGCTCACCGCCCCCTGTCGGGCGTTGCCCTCGTTGTGGCCCTGGCCCGGGGTGCCTTGCAGCCCTCCGCGCTCCACTTTTGCCCGAGACCGCTTGGGGGCGCCGGGGAGCGCCGAAGAGCGCCGAAGGGCGCTTGGGAGCGCCGGGGAGCGCCTGCCCCCGGGGCCTCCTGGGCCTCGTGATGGGGTGCTCTGCGGAGGGGCCTGCCTGGAGCTCGCGGGGGTGGCGCTCCTGGCAGCGCCCGACCGTGGCCCCGGCCGCGCCGCTGGAGCCCGAGGGCACCGCCGAAGGGGTGCTGGAGCCCTGCGAGGCCCTGCGCGGACGTCAGCGCCGCTGCGGGCCGCTGCGGGCCATCTGCGACGCCTGCGGCGCCCGGCGGCGCGGTGCCGCACCGCGCGGAGGTTGCGCGGGCAAGGAGGAAGTGCGCTGCTCCGCGCTGGTGCGCGCATGCGCGTGTTCCGGCAGGGGGGGGGGTATCATGGTTGGGGGCATGATATCTCCCCAGGTATCATGGCTGGGGGCGTGGTCTCTCCCCAGGTATCATGGCTGGGGGCACGATATCTCCCCAGGTATCATGGCTGGGGGCATGCTATCTCCCCAGATTTCACGGCGCCTCTTCTTACTTCAGTGCGCCCCCGCCCCCCCCCTGGGCCGCGCGCGTGCCGCCGGCCGCGATTTGCGCCCCCCTCTCTTGGACGCCCCCCTCTTGGACGCCCCCGATCTCAACCAAGTCGGTGGACCCGCCCCCCCCATTCCCTTCTCGCGCGGGCGAGGAGCATCTCGCTGATCACTTAGGAAGGATGCGTTCACGATGCGGACGCCTTGGCTGCTTTGCTGTAGCTCCGTCGGCTCCCATTTGTCGTCCGTTTGTTGACATCCTTGTCCCTCCTGCCTTTTGATGTTTGTTCCTCCTATAACGGTTCCTCCTCCGCCTCCTGAACCACTTATAGTGATCATCGTTACCACATGTTATCAAGATAATGGTTTTCACCGTGCCTGGGTTGTGGGCAAGGGGCCTCTTGGATGCTCATTCTAATCTCTGGTATTCGGGATGTTTCTCGGGGGCCTATTGGAGGCCCCTGGGGGGGCATTTTGGGGCCTATTGGCGGCCTTCTGAAGACCTCTGGCGGGGGCCTCTTGAGGGGCTCTTGGGGCAGCTTTCGGGTGCACATTGGGGTGCAGTGGGGGCAATCTGCGGCGGACAGGCCCCCAAGGTCAGTTCGAGCTCCCCCTCTTAGGCATTTTTTGGAGACCTCCTGGGCAGTCTTGAGGCCCCCTGGGGCCGTCTTCGGACCCTCTCGGGGGCCTCGTGGGCCGCATTCGGGCGTTATTGGGGACCTCTTGGGCCGATTCGGAGCCCTGCAAACATGGAAAGGCGAGGCCGCTAAAACACGCCAACTGTTTGAGGACATTCAATGATTGCCGCCTCCTGGGTCCTCTCGGAGTCCTCTTGGGGCGTCTCGGAGGCATCTTGGGCCGTCCCGGGGCGTTCTGGTGCCGTTTCGGGGCCTCCTGGACCGTCTTGTGGTCCTCCTGGCACCCTTTCAATCATCTTGGGACGTTCGGACCTCGGGAAAATCTCACGCGGCTCCGCTCAGTGCCTACGGCGCGCTGGCAGATGTTCTCTCGGTTGTTCGTCCCTCCGTTTTTGGGGCGAAGACGTCCGAGCTGCTGCTCGCCAAAAAGGATCCACGCGCGCCGCTTTACTGTTTGTTTCGTTGCGTGCCAGATTGTTCGTGTGCGTTTCTGTGTGTGTGTGTGTGCGTGTGTGTGTGTGCGCGTGTGTGTGTGTGTGTGGCGGGTTTACTGTTTGTGTGGCGGTTTTACTGTTCGTTTCTGGTGGCTGTTGGTTCCCTTTTGACGCGCGACTCCTGTCACGGGGGAGGAGCACACGTCGAACGAAGAGGGGTCGAGGGACGAGGACGCGGGCGCAGGAGGAGGACAAACTGGGTTCCTCAACCTTTGCAGAGGCGGGGGGTGATGGGGGGGCGTCGCGTGCCCCTCTCCCCGATGCTCCACCGCTCCCTCGCCGCGTCCCCAGTGCCGCAGTCTGCCCCCTTTGTCGCTCCACCCCGTCGTCGTCGTCGTCGTCGTCGTCGTCTCGGTGGCGAGCGAGGGGGGGAGTGAGAAGGAGGGCGACGGGGCTTCTCAGCAGCCCCGCCGCTCTCTGAGAGTTCTGTGCGTCTTCGGGGAAGGCCTGGAAAATGTTCAGAAGGCCGGAGGACTTCCGAGCCTTCTGAGAAGGCCCGCCCCCTCTCACTTCCCCCCGGGCGCGCCGCCGACTTTAGGCGAGCCTGGGATTGTCTCAGGGTTTTATCGGGGCACCTTGGAGGCATAGCGGGCCACAGTCTGGGATTGCCAGGTCGTTTCCGGTTGGTCTTGAAACATCGGAACAGTATGAGAGAGATGTTGGTTCGTCTGGGAACGCGTGGGGGTTGTAGTTCTACGTTGTGGAATCATGGACACACGGGCTCGGAATGGGGTGACTCAAGAGAGCTACGTACAGAAACTCGAACCAGGCGATTTACAAGTCTCCTATTGCTCCACATCGTGCAAACACGACGAGCGGATGGGAGGGGGCAGGAAATTGATGAGGATTAGACAGGACGGAGAAAAAAGAGGAGAGAGGAACATCGGCAAGAGAGACGCGGAGGAGAGGGGAGGAACATATTGATTGAGCCAGGCAAGATGATGTACCAACGTCGTCGCCAACCTGTTGCGCACAACTGATGTCTTGTATGTTCACGTGAGCATCTACGTCATACGTCAGCGTGTTGCTTTTTTTACATTTGATATAGGAGGAAACGGTTGATGACAGGCGTTTCTTTCCAAACCTATTTTCCCCCCATTCCTCGCCCTCGTCGCTCCTCCCCCATATGTTATCTCCCTCTCCTCCTTTCCCTCCCCCTTCTCATCCCTGCTCCTTGGCCCCAATGTTTCCCTTCGTTCCTTTCTTGTTGTACCTCCGACTGTGACCGAGGTGCAGAACCTGCATAACAGTGTGAACATGCAGGCCATGACCAGGTTTCCACCTGGTGCACGGGACCTGGTGACGCAGCTTTTAGAAACCAGGCTTGCCCGAGTTTTCTTCATTGGACAAGGATGAGTAGAAGGAATGAGGAGGAGGAGGAGGAAGAGGAAGAGGAGGAGGAGGACCCGTGTAAACCGACCCAGCGTGCATCAACGATCATGCATTGCACCGTACCTCCAAGTTCCTTCTTCATGTTTCTTTGCAAGAGTTTATGCTCACTGCTGGAAGTGCCCCGTTGGAAGACAACCGTTTGAAAACCCTCAATCGTGCCAGAACATCACCCCTTGGATTTCAACGCTGCGAATCAATGTTGCTGTTGCGTCCTGATGGTCCTGCGTCGTGCCAGAACACCAATCCTGGGACCATCGAGTACGTTTACGGCCAATCACAGCCGCCCCATGCTTGTCGGATACACCTATGTGGTCGAACGTTGCGGCCAGCGCTCGGCCAAGTTATTGGATGAGGTGTTCCCCCAGCCGTTGCGGAACCCATTCGGGCGACACGTGGGAGAGAACGAAAAACAAGAGAGGGAGGACAGAGAATTCGGATAAGGAGGAGGACGAGGAGGAGGACGCCTCTTGGGAGTCTCTTGGTGCACTTTTTGGGCCTTCTGGGAGCTTTGTGGGAGCTTTCTGGGTGCCTCGGGGAGGCTTCTTGGGAGCTTTCTTGGGCCTCTTGGGGGCAGTTGGGGGCTCTTTGGGAGGCTCGTTGGCCGTCTGGGCGTTCCTGGCTCGTCGGAACCTGTCCTGGTGGGCTCTGGGCCAAGTTGGGGCCTCTTGGGGCGCTTCAGTGCCAGGCCATATTGGGCGTCTTGAGAAGTGTCCTGGGCCGTCTTGAGGCCCTGTTGGGGCATCTTGAGGGCCTCTTGGTCCGTCAGGGGACCATCTCGGTGGCCTCTGGTGTCATCTTGGGCCATTGGAAAAGCCGAGCATGACCACCGCAGAGATCTTTCAAACGCATAAGGAGCATCAATGATTGTTCCCTTTTCGGGCCTTCCTGAAGGGCCTCTTGGATGCATGTTGGGGGCCTCAGGAGCTGTCCTGGGCCACCTTGAGGCCATCTAAGGCCGTCATGGCTGCATCTTGGGCCGTCTTGGATGCATCGTGCGGCCAGCCTGGGCTCTGTTGGAGCCATCCTGGACGCCTTGTAGGCCAATGTTAGCGACTTGGGGGCTTCTTGGGCCGTCTGTGGGCCCTGTTGGGGCGGTCTTGGAGGCCCTCTTGGGCCGTCATGGGGTTCTTGGAGGCTTCTTAGGTGATCTTGGGGCGATTTTGCAGACCTCTTGGGCCGTCCTGGGCCGTCGGAAGGCCAACAAAGGAGCGAACCCCAACATCCTTCAAACACATGAGGCACATCATTGATTAGGACATCGTCAGGTCTTCCTGAAGTACCTCTTGGAGGCCTCCTGAGGCCTCTTGGTGGCCTTGGGCCATGTGGCGACCACCTTAGCCTGTCTTGGCTGCATCTTGGGCCGTCCTGGGGACACTGTGCGGCCATCTTGGGCTACAGATTGGCAGTCTTGGGAGCCATCTGGGGCCGTCTTTGGGCCGTCGTGGGGGCTCCTTTGGCCATCATGGGGCCATCTTTGGGGCCTTTGCGGCGATCGTAAAACAATGTTGGGGGCTTGTCGGGCCGTCTTGGGCCGTCGGAGCGCCGAATTGGCACAACAGCCAAACATCTCCAACCACCAAAGGAAAGCACATGTTTTTGAATTCTTCGGGCCTTCCAGTCGGTCCTCTTGGAGACCTCTTGGGCTGTCTTGGAAGCCTCTTGGGAGATTCTTAGGCCGTCTTGGGCCATCTTGAGGCTATCTTCAGCCGTCGTGAGTGTATGTTTGGCCGTCTTGGCCACGTTTGTTAGGCCATCTCGGGCTCTCGTGGGGCCATCTTGGCCGTCTGGGAGGCCATATTGGCTGTCTTGGAGGCTATCGTGAGGCCATCTTAAGCGACACGGCCCACGGGAGATGGGTTTTGAGTAACTTTCCGGGTGGCTCGCGGGCTGGGCCGAAGCCCCAGGTGGAGTTCTTTCGAAAATAATCACATGTTTGCCAGGCGTTTGGCACGCCGTGTACCCTTGTGCACCCTTGTGGCAAGCCATGGGGCGGCGGATCTGATGGCTTTCGGTCCATCCCGCCACTGTGCCTGGATTGTGGGTCAGAGTCCTTAGGGATGCTTCTCGGGGTCTCTTCGGAGCGCTCTCGGGGGCCTCTTGGGAGCCTTTTCAAGGCCTCTTGGGACTTCCTAGGGGCCTCTTGGGACCTCTTGGGAGCCTCTTGGGGGCCTCTTGGGGCATCCTGGGGGCCTCTCGGGGCCGAGGGCTCGAAGTGTGAGTGCGGGTCCCCCGTCTTGGAGCAGTCTCGGTGGCCTCTTGGGCCGTCCTGGAGGCCTCTGGAGCCGTCTTGGGGTCCTCTAGGGCTGTTTGCGGGCCCTCTTGGAGTCCTCTTGGGCCGTCTTGGGGCCATCTCGGGGGCCTCTTCGGCCGTATTGGAGCGTCGGGAGGCTGAAAATATGAGAACGCCAAAGTAACTCGAAAACCTAAGGCACATTAGTTGATTGTGGCTCTTGGGGCCCTCTGTGGAGGCCTCTCAGAGGTCTCTTGCGCTTTCCCGAAGGCTTTCTGGGCCGTCTTGGAGCCATCTTGAGCGTCTTGGAGCGATCGTTCGGCGACCCGGAGTCCTCTAGGAGCGTCCTGAAGGCCTCCTGGTACCCTGATGGCCCGTCTTGGGCCTCTCTTGGCCCCGAGAGAATCATCCGAGAGCACGCCCCGGAGCCCAGGGGGCACGCCCGGGGGCCCTGGAAGATCTGGCAATTTCGGGGCCGGGCTCCTCAAAATAATCCTCAGGATTGAGGGCTGAGGCTCCAGGGGATAGAACATGGGGGCTTGAGAGTGTTCCAATTCGTGCCTCGTAGCACGGTGGCGGATCCCCGCGAATTAACGTGACCGTTGCGCCCTGACAGTCCTAACCGTGCGGGGACACCACTTCACTTCTGGGACGTCAGCCATGAGGGTTCCGATGAATTGCTGTAAACTTTACGATGGAATTGCGTGGCGCCAAGGCGAGAAGTACATTTTGTCCGTGAAGCTGCATCGGCGAAATTGTTGCCAATGCGCGCGGCGCTCAGGCGAGAGCCACTGCGCATTTTGAAAACGACCCGCCCTCCATCCGTGAAGCTCTTGGCAAGCTTTTAAGACGAGTGCGCGCGGCCCTCAGGCGAGAGCCACAGTTTGTGTACGATGGTGCAGGCCTGGCCGGTGGCAAAACCAACATAGCTCTACCTCTCACCTCACTGTGCGCTGCCCTTAAGGCGCAAGGGTCTCCGGGGGGCATCCCGACTCATAGTGCGAGCGCTGTCCCCCAGGGGGTGGGCATATGCGGATAGGTTCATTGGTACGATCATCTTTCTTTCACACTTTTAGAACAAACCGTGAAGACCTTGCATGTTCTTTAGGTGGAACGCGCGCGGCGCTGAGGCGAAAGCCACGCTTTGGAAAGGAGGCGTCCTCCATCCGTGAAGCTTCTGCAGACTTTCGGAGCGCATGTGCGAGGCGCTGAGGCGAGATCCACATTTTGAGAACCACCTGCCTTCCATCCGTGAAGCTTCTGCGGACTTACTTTCAAAACGAATGCGCGCGGCGCTGGAGCGAGAACCACGTGTTGAAAACTACTCGCCCTCTATCCGTGCAGCTATTTATAAACTTTGAGACGAGTGTGCGCGGCGCTGAGGCGAGAGCCACATGTTGCGAACGACCCGCCCTCCGTTCGTGAAGCTCTTGCACACCTGCAAAACGAATGCGCGCGGTGCTACAGCGAAAACCACATGTTGAGAAGGACTTGCTCGCCATATGTGCTTGGCAAACTTCCAAGACGAATGTGCGCAACGCTGAGGTGAAAACGGCATTTCGAGAAGAAACCGCCCTCCATCCGTGAAGCTCTTGCAAATTTTCGAAACGAATGTGCGCTGCGCGGAGGCGAGAACCACATTTAGAGAACCAACCGCCCTCCATCTGTGAAACACTTGCGAAATGTTGACGACGGTGCGCGGTGCCACGGTGAGAGCCACATCTTGTGAACGACCCGCCCTCCATCCGTGAAGTTCTTTGCCAATATTTAAGACGAGTGCGCGCGGCGCTAAGGCGATAGTCAAATTTGAAAACGGTCCGACCTCCATCCGTGAAATTGTTGAGAACGTTTGGACGAATGCGTGCGGCGCGGAGGCGAGAGCCACGTTGCGAACACGCCCCTGCAGTTCTTGCAAATTGGTGAAGGCGAGTGTGCGCAGCGCTGAGGCGAGCGCCACATTTTGGGAGCCACCTGCCTTCCATCCGAAAGAATTCCTGCAAAGTCTCAAAACGAATGTGCGCGGCGCTGGGGCGAGAACCACATTTTGAAAAGGACCCACCTCAATCCGTGAAGCTTTTTGCCAATTTTGCAAACGAATGTGAGCGGCGCCAACGTGGGAGCCACATTTTGAAAACGGTCCGCCCTCCATCCGTGAAGTTCTTGCGAACGTTTGAAACGAATGCGCGCGACGCTGATGTGACAACCACGTTTTGTTGAAGCCGCCATCCATCCGTGAAGTCCCCGCAAATTTCCAGAACGAATGCGCGCGGGGATGAGGCGAATACCACATTTTGAGAACCAGCCTCTCTCCATCCGTGAAGCTCTTGCAAAAGGTTGACGATGGTGCGCGGCGCTGGGGTGAGAGCCCTCATGTTGAGAACGACCCGCCCTCCACCCGAGAAGCTCTTGCAGGCCTTGCAGACGAGTGCGCGCGGCGCCTGGGCGAGAGCCACATCTTGCCAAGGGTCCGCCTCCATCCGTGAAGGAGGATGTGCTCGGCGCCGAGGTGAGAGCCACGTTCTGAAAACCGCCTGCCCTCGATCCGTGAAACTGTTGTAGATTTGAAGCTTCAGGATCACACGTCGCGAGGAAGTCTCGGGCGAGCCGCCCGGCCCGCCAGCCCTGCCAGCACGTCTCGGGGCGCGGCAGCAGGGAGTTGCTCACATGGAAAGGAGTGGAGGAGGAGGAACAAATGAAATACTTGGACGAGGATATGGAGGAGGAGGAGGAGGAGGAAGAGGAGGAGGAGGAGCAGGAGGAGGAGGAGGAAGAGGAGGAGGAAGAGGAGGAGGACGCGGAGAGAAATCTGGAAACCAAGGGGATGGAGGCTAGGAGTTGGAGGAGGGAGGACGAAGGCTAAGAGGAGGAAGGACGACGACGACGATGACGATGACGATGACGATGACGATGACGATGACGATGATGATGATGATGATGATGATGATGATGATGATGATGATGATGATGATGATGATGATGATGATGATGATGATGACGATGATGATGATGATGATGATGGTGATGGTGATGGTGATGGTGATGGTGATGGTAATGGTGATGGTGATGGTGATGGTGGTGGTGATGGTGATGGTGATGGTGAGGATGAGGATGAGGATGAGGATAAGGATAAGGATGAGAAGGAGGAGGAGGAGGATGAGGAGGATGAGGAGGAGTAGGAGGATGGATGCTGGATAATCGATGTTGATGACGACGATGATGATGATGATGACGATGGCGATGGTGATGGTGATGGTGATGGTGATGGTGATGGTGATGGTGATGGTGATGGTGATGGTAATGATGAGGAGGAGGATGAGGAGGATGAGGAGGATGAGAAGGAGGAGGAGGAGGATGAGGAGGATGAGGAGGATGATGGATGCTGGATAATCTATGATGATGCTGATGCTAATGCTGATGCTGATGCTGATGATGATGATGATGATGATGATGATGATGATGATGATGATGATGATGATGATGGTGATGGTGATGGTGATGGTGATGAGGATGAGGATGAGGATGAGGGTGAGGGTGAGGGTGAGGGTGAGGATGAGGATGAGGATGAGGATGAGGATGAGGATGAGGATCATGATGATGATGAGGATGAGGTGGAGGAGGAGGAGGAGGAGGGTGAGGTGGAAGCGGAGGAGGGTGCGGGGCACAGGCCTCCTCATTGCGAGGCGTCGGGCATGCGATGCTTCATCTTCCGTGCCTCGCGTGGACGCAGGGTCCTGGGCGCGCGAATCTGGTCTCTGTCGTGCTGCGAGTGGTCTTGATCACTCTCCCTCTTCATATAGGCGGCGCGCCCAGGGGGGAAGGCAGAGGATGCGGGCCTCCTCAGAAGGTTCGGAACCACCGGGGCCTTGCGAGAAGTTTTCTACGTATGCCTTCCCCGAGAGCACGGAGTGTCTCTCGGCATGCCAGAGGGCGTTTGAGAAGCCCCACCGCCTTTGAGAAGGCTTGACCCCTGGGCGCGCTGCCGATGATCTGCCTCTGCCGTTCGCGGCCCTGGCCCCTTGCGTGCTGGGCCCGTTCAGAGACGCTCGCCGCCCACCTGCACGCCGGCCCCGACCGTGCCAGGTCCTGGGCCCGGGAGTGGCGTCCTGGCCAGGCCAGAAGGGCGCTCTTCCTTATGGCCCACGGATCAGGAGTCCAGGTGGGCGGGGAGGGAGGGCAGCAGGGTGAGGGGGGAGGAAGGCGGAGGAGGAGGAGGAGGAGGAGGAGGACGAGGACGAGGACGAGGACGAGGAGGAGGAATAATGATAATAAGAAGGGAAGGACGAGAAGGAGGGGGGAGGATGAGGAGGGAAGAGAGGAATCTGAGCAAGCAGGAGGAGGCGGGGGGAGAGGAGGAGAATGCTACCAGACTGTCGGATCGTACAGCCATAGCGGTGGCGGGCCCTTGCGCTTATGAGGTGCGTGAGGCTCCGCCTGTTCTGAACTGGTGCCCAGGGGTCATAGTCTTTGTCTGACGGGATGTGCTTGACTGGTTGTAACAACTTAGCCCACATGTCTGATCGAGACGATCGAAATAGGTACTTCAGGAAAACACGGGTACAAAGACCGACAGCAGTTCTGGTTCATTCTGAACCGGACTCGCTGTCGCCGTCGCACGTTGTACAGTTGAGTCAGAAGGCCGCCTGCCCAACAGCGGTCGCTGTCGGTTTGGGATTTGGGACAGCGTTTGTTGTTCGGCATCGTACCTTTTTTTTTCCGCACCCATTCCAGGTTGGCGCTAATAATTTAGCCCACACGTTTGAACAACGGTGTGACATCCACTGCGGGCGGATAATTGAAAAAGGACTTTCGAGTGGGAGGGCGAGGCAGGAGGCAGGAGGAGGGCGGAGGAAGGAGGAGCGCCAAAGCGGCCGCCGCCGTCGTCGCCCGGGACTGCGACGGCCAGGGCGAGGCGGGGGAGGCCAAGAGAGGGAGGGACGGTCGGTAGACCAAGAGAGTGAAACTCAATTGGGAGATCAAGGTCAAGACCAAGGGCACCAGGACAAGTACCAACTGGTCTAGTTTTCTCGTCAGTCTGGGTGCGGCGCGAGGGCGGAGACGAGAGAGGAAGGCGGCCGCCGTCGTTCTTGTGGTCGCCCAGGGCGCCCCCCCCTCCCCCGCGCGAGGCCCGAGGACCGCCCCACTGCGGGGCAGTGCCTGCGGCACCCGTGGCTGCGGCGGCCCAGGCGGCCGCGCCCTGGCAGAGTGGAGGAAGGGGGGGAGAAGGGGCGGAAGCCAAATGCGGAGGAGGGGATGGGGAAGAGGGACGGTGGAGGGAGGAGGTGGCCATAAAAGAGAGGGAGGAGGAGGAGGAGGAGGAGGAGGAGGAGGAGGAGGAGGAGGAGGCCAGTGCGAACCCAAGGCCCATCAGAGACTTTGCAATACACCTTCCCTCCAGGCTCCTCCTCACAGGCCCCTGCAAGGATTCGTTTTCAGTGCAGGAAGTGCCCCGTTGGAGAATAACCGTTTGAAATTCCGGAACGGTGCCAGAACACCATTCATGAGACTTCAACGTCGCGAGTCGCCAGTATTGTTGCGTCTTGGCGATCCTGAACTGGGCCAGATCACCATGCCTGGGACTTCAACACCACGAATCAACGTAACTGGTGTGCCCTGACAGTCCGACATCATGCCAGAACATTATTCCTGGGACGATTACCGCGAGAACCCTTGAGCCGGTTGTCAACTCTCAACGAATACGCGCGGCGCTAAGGCGAGAGAGCCACCTTTTGAAAAGGAGCAGCCCTCCATCCGTTAAATCATTGCATGTGTTATGACGACTGTGCGCGGCGCGCGAGAGCTACATTTTGAAAATGACCCGCCCTCCATCCGTGAAACTTCTGCATCTTGTTATGACGACTGTGTGCGGCGCTAAGGCGAGAGCCACATTTTGAAAACGGCCCGCCCTCCATCCGCGAAGCTCTTGCAAGTTTGTAAGGCGAGAAACTCTTGCACACTTGTAAGACGGAGGTGCGTGGAGATAAGGCGAGAGCCACATGCTGAAACCGACTTGTCCCCAATCCGTGAAACGCTTGCGAGTTTTTTTTCAGACGGGTGTACGCGGCGCTAAGGCAAGGGCCATAGTTTGAAAGCGACCCGCCCTCCATCCGTGAAACTGTGAGATTCCGTGAAACTGTGAGGATCCATTTGTAAGTTTCGGGATCGTAAACGGTGAGGAGGTCTAAGGCGCAACGCCTGGCCCGCCATTCCCTCTGGCCTCGGGGTGCGACAGTGAGGAGTTGTTCATAAGAAAAAGGAGCAGAGGAGGAGGACCCCCCCCCGCCTCGCCAGACCATCCCGCGCTCGGGGGGCTTGGTGGGGTGTTTGGAACCTCCACCTCGACGCCTCGATGCTGGGGCCTCCCTCCTCCTCCTCCTCCTCCTCCTCCTCCTTCCCCCTTCACTCCTACTCCTTCCTCCCTCCACCGCTTCGGTCCTCCTCCGCCCTCGTCCCCTCCCCCCCACCACCGCCCCCTTTCCTGCGTCGCCTCTGTGCTCCGTGCTCACCCAGGATGCACCAGCACGCCCAGGTACGCGTGTCTCGCTTGTGCAGTGCGCTTCTATCCGTTGAGCTTGTGTTGACGTATGTAGTGGTGGGATGGACGTCAGTCTCTCTCCCTGCTTTTGCTCGCTGGCCCGCTTCCTGCCCTCTCCCGGCGAGCCTGCTCCCCGAAGGAGGGAGACGGCATATACATAATTTTTGACAGTCCGCGTCGATTTCTTAGATCCGCATTGGACCCCTTCTCCTGGGTGCGAGGAGCGCGCAAAGGGCGGCGCCAGAGGCGCAGCCGAGGGGAGTCAAGCGCAGATCCAAGAAGTCCGCGCGGACCGTCAAAGTTTAATGGTTGTGTGCCGCTTGTTTGTTATATATATATATATATATATATATATATATATATATGTCTATGTATCGCTTTCTTTGTTTCATTGTTCTCTGTTTCTTTTTCTCTGTCTGTCTCCCTTTTTCTCTCTCTCTCTCTCTCTCTCTCTCTTTCTCAATATATACATATATACATATATCGGCGCACCGGGTCCGGGGGCCCGGGGCCCCCAAACGAATTTCGGCCTCCCCGAGCCTCTGGGGCGCTCCTGCAGAGTGCTTCCGTGGATCTCCGGTCCTCCTGGACCCCCCAGGCAGGTCTGTCCTGCGAGTCAGACGCGAAAAAACAAGCCCCCACGACGGCCAAAGAGGGCCCCGAGACACCCAAATATCGGCCCAAGACGCCCAATATGGGCCCAAGACTGCCCAAGAGGCCTCCAAGACGCCCCAAGAGACCCCCAAGAGGCCTCCCAAGAGAGCCCCGGGAGGCTAAAATGGTTGATTTTCCTGTGTGTGTTTTCTATGTTTTTGGCCTTCTCGCTTTTTCCGCTTCCCCACGCTCCAACACGGCCCAAGAGGCTCCCTAGATCGCACCAGTATTGCCCAAGAGGCCCCCAAGAAGGCCCCAACACGGTCCAGGAGGGCTCCAAGACCGCCCAAGAGGCATGCCTGTCGATATACATCTGTCTGATATGCATCTGCCTATCGAGTTTCAAGATATTGTCACACTCTCTCGTGCTGTTTGTCTTCGTTATATTATCCAACATGACTCTTTTGGCGCGCTCGTCTGCCACCTCGAGGCCCTAGAAGACGAGCCCGATCACGTTTTCGCCCGCATGCGCTGTGGCTGGTGGGCAACATCTTTTCTCTCATACATGCGTGGTCTTTATCATTGGTACTATGCTCTACCACGTTGCCCACCAGGCCCCGTGCTTCTGGACAGGTTGTGCAGGCTTCCCGATGTGAACCCGAAGTTGCAGCAGTCTCTGTATAAGATGCTCTGGTCCAACTCACCTCCGAGGGAAAGCTTTCAATGTATTCTGATCCGTCGTATTCGGCAATGGTTTCCCCTGGTCCAACAGACCCATATTGATCGTTTCTATATCAATGCCTTTTTCCTGGTCCAAAAAACACAACCTTATCTTCTAGTATCCGTGCTTCGTGTTCTCACGCGCTCGGTCTGTACCTCTGCCAGGTTCCACACCAGGCCGATGAGGTGCTTCCTGGGATGCCCGTGCACGGACGGCGTGGACCTCGACTCTGTCGATCACTATGCTCATTGTACTCGGCTTCTTCAACTCTTCTCTCGCTGGCTTGGACATATCCTACCTCCGTCGTCGTCCTTACCTGAGGGTTTTCCCTGGCTCTCCTCCTCACTCCTGCTTTCACCCTCGTCACGCTCGGCTAATATGTTGTTTGCTGCTTGTGTTGATGTTTTTCTGTCGTCCCACGCCGCCCGTCGTAAGGGGCTCCCAGGTTCCCCCGAGGAACACTTTGAAGCTCGTCTGCGGGTCACGCCCCGCCGTCACCACTTTCTCGCCCGCGCTTGGCGCGAGCAGGCCGCTGTGCAGTTCTCTACCTCCTCCTCCCCCTCCCGTGTGCATGGAAGTGCTGTTGCTGCTGTCAATCCTGGCTCTGGGAGTGCCACGCAGGGGCGTGGCCGTTGGCTTGGAGGGCCCGAGTAAACAGTGCATGATTGTTTACACTTTTGAGGCCTGCGCCCACAGCGTGTGCAGGCAGCAAAACACATCTCGTTCTGGGGTTGGTGCCTTGGGGTTGAAAAAAAGAGGCGCCCAAGGCGGCCCAAGAGAGCACCAAGGCGGCCCCAAGAGAGGCCCAAGAGGGCGCCCAAACATTCAAAACTTAAGTTTTCCGCCGCGAGCGGGCCCCGAGAGGCCCCAAGAGGGCCCCATGAGGACCCAAGAGGCCCCCCAGAGGCCCCAAGGAGCCCCCAAGAGGCCCCCAAGAGGCCCCAAAAAGACCCCAAGAGGCCCACAAACAGCCCCCAAGAGGCTTCAAAACTGCCTCCCAGAGGCCCCCGAGAGGCGCACCACGAGATCCCAACACAGCGGTCTCCCCCTCTCATTATCCCTTTTCTTTGTCGTCGCCTTCTTCGTCGTCGTCGTTGTCGTCGTCCCCATCCTCTTCCTCGTCTTCCTCCTCCTCCTCCTCCTCCTCCTTCTCCTCATCCTCTTCAGCTCTTCCGGTTCAGCTCAATCGGCACAGGACTGAGGAGGAGAAACACGAGGAGAAGCAGGAGGAAGGGGGGAAAAGAAACGGGCACATAATAATACGAGGACAAATAGAACGAGGAGCAGATAAAGGAGCGCGGAGGAGAAGTAACGATTACCACCCAGCTAGCAAACGAAACAAGGGGAAAAGGATGATGAAGAAACAGTAGTCGAACCGCTTCGCTTTGGATTTCCTCGCAACTCCGACTGCGGAAGTGCATTGCTCCATAGTGTTCCCGCTTTCTTCGCCTGAGACATTCTTGCAGACCTTCCGAGATGCGCATGTGCATGCGCGCCCAGGGCTGCACAAACGATTTGCGTATACGTGTACATACCCTTGCACGCGTACATTCACATTCATAAATGCAACGTGTACGTATGGGCGCAGATGCGCGCGCATGTACGCACGCACGCACTCCGCTAGCTTGCGAAACTCAAGGACCAAGGTGCATGGCGCGCAGCGCCAGTGCAGTCTTGTGTGTATATATATATATATATATATATATATATATACAGGGGCGTCGTTATCTCTCCTTGCTTCTGTCTGCTGGCCCGCCTCTGTCCTTCCCTCTTCGGGCGAGCCTACTCCCTCACCCATCCCGCCGTCTGGCGGGAGCGTAGGGGCTAAGGTGGCCCTCGCTTTCTTCGGGTTGAGAGCGCTGGGATCCGAGTCGCGCCAATCCCCCTTCGGGCGTACATAGCCCACCCCGCCCGGAACCTTCGGGTCCGTCTACAGTCGTCCCTCCTCCTCCTCCTCCTCCTTCGTCTTCCTCCTCCTCCTCCTCCTCCCTCCTTCCCCTCCTCCTCCCTACTCCTCCCTCCTCCCTACTCCTCGTCCTCCTCCTGCTTCTCCTCCTCCTCCCTCCTCCTCCTCCTCCTCCTCCTCCTCCTCCCTCCTCCTCCTCCTCCTCCCCCTCCTCCTCCTCCCTACTCCCCTACTCCCTACTCCCTACTCCTCCCTCCTCCCCCCTCCTCCACCGCCCCCCTCGCGCACAGACGCCAACTCCCTGAAGGCCCCGCCGAGGAACCCCTTGCTGGATGTTCTTCGCGTTTGCGGAATGTTCTTGTACATCCTGGGGCGGGTGCCCTTCGATGTCCTGTGCGTTTTGGTCGGCGGAGGCTCTCGTGTTCTTGAGGGATGTTTTTTTGGGGGCCCATCGGCCATCTGATATGTCGGCGATGTGTCGCCGATGCAAGCTCGGCGCTTCCCACGCTGGCCCCCCCTCGATCGTTCCCCCTATCACCCCCTCCGCTCGAGAACAAGCATGAACTTTCGGAAGTCCGCGCGGGTTTCTCGGATCGGCGTTGGACCCCTTGGCGGCGCGGGGTGGCCAGCGCCGTTCCAAGAAGTCTGCGCGGACCTCTAAAAGTTTGCACCGTTTTCGATGTGTCTGTCCTGCCCCCTCCTCTCTCCTCCTCCCTCCCTCCCTCCCTCCCTCCCTCCCTCCTCCTCGTCCTCCTCCTCCTCCTCCTCCTTCTCCTCCTCCTCCTCCTCCTCCTCCTCCTCCTCCTTCCTCCTCCTCCTCCTCCTCCTCCTCCTCCTCCTCCTCCTCCTCCTCCTCCTCCTCCTCCTCCTCCTCCTCCTCCTCCTCCTCCTCCTCCTCCTCCTCCTCCCCCCCCCTACTCCCTACTCCCTACTCCCTACCCCTCCCCTCCCCCCTCCCTACGCCTCCCTCCTCCACCGCCCCCCCGCGCGCAGGGACGCCAACTCCCTGAAGGTCCCGCCGAGGAACCCCTTCAGCTCCTGCACGCTGGAGAGCCTCGGAGAAACCACGAGCAGGCGGCTCCTCTCGGGGGGACGCTCGGCGGGCGCGGGCTGCGCGGGGGGGCGCTGGGGCGCTCCTCTCTGCAGACTTCCACGGCCTGCCGACGGACTCGGCTCGACCAGAAGACGGACGACACCACCCCACCCACTCAGAGGTTGAAAAGGGTACCCATACCGCCACCCTGCCTCCGTTTTCCCCTTTTTGGGGCCTCCTGGGCGGCCCTCTCTGCCACCGCTGGATTCGCCTCGAAATTCTGGTCAGAACGCACCCCAGGAGAGGTCCAGGGAGTAGCGGTATCGGTACCTGGTGGTTTTCCCACCTACGGCCCTCCGTGTTGCGCTTTGGCCACTCGGGCGCCGTAGCGTATACCACCCAAAAAGCCACGCCGGATCTCTCGGTATACGCTAAGCCCCGTGGGCCCATAGGTGGTGTGGTGCCGCTCGTTTTGTGGTCCATCGGCCAGATTTTCTGCAGCCTTCTGTCAGCAAGCAGAATACAGCCCCTACCCTAATAGCATAATGAATCGTCTGAAACGTCTGCACGTGGGTGGCTTCGTCTGACATGTCTGCAGAAAAAGGCCCCCTGTGCCTGATGCCCTTGGCCCTCCCGACTCCGGTCCCCTCCCAATGGAGTGGGGGTCCTTGGTGTTGCTGCTCCTTCTGCACACAGTCAAGACGTTGAGCCAAGAGCCACTCTGGGTTCAGGAGGGGAGGCCTCTCCGTCGCCGATGCCCGCCGAGGTCGGGAGAGCCCTTTCGTTCCTTGTGTGGTCTTGCTCGTGATAGCACGATGACCGGACGGCAGGTTCGCGTCGTGTCGACCTGCGGCGACCCCGCCGCCGGCGTTCAGCGTTGAACGCCGCCGGCGACCCAGAATTGGTCGATGTGGAAAGGTTTGGCGTTTAGGAAACGGTCGATCGTTCGAGGTTGCACGAATGCCGCTGTCTCGGGAGCCAGCGCCGGGGTCGTCGCGGCACGAGCTTGCCGTACGTCTGCAGACTTCTGCTGGCTTCCGTGGGGCGAGGTTATAAAAGCTCCGTCGGGCTTGGCCGCCCCGCGCGCCCCCCCGCGACCTCGCCGCGCGAGTGCGCCCTCATTTCCCTCTTCCTGCGTCTGCGGCCGCCGCATCGGCCTTGCTAGAAGGTTTCTGCGTCTTCGGGGAAGGTTTTCAAAACTCCTCAGACGGCCGGGGGACTTCCAAGCCTTCTGAGAAGGCCTTCTCTTTATCACTTCCGACTTTCCCCTCCCCTTGCATGCGGGCCATTCGCATCACCCGCAGCCCGGGTTGCCTGGACGCGCGAGCGGATTGCCGTTGCCGCGCTGCGACGTAAAAAGTGTCTGCATGCGAAGGCCGCGGATTCCAGAAGGCTCTAATGATCGGCGACGGGGCAGCACGCGCTGCTACGAGCAGTTGTGAGGAAAGTCCTGGCGGTCCGAGGAGGAACAGGTGTACCGAGACCGCTGCCCTTCCCTCGCTTTCGCCTGTTTGGGACCTCCTGCGAGCGGCCTCCTGTTTGACTGCGATGATTGACGTCATTGCGCGCGCGGCAAAATTGCACGGACTCGAACTACACCCGAGCAAGACCAATACACTCAGCAACCTGACGAGAAGGACTGGAAGGGCGAGCACACGCACAGCTCGTGTCCAAGACATGGATATAGAGATCATCCCGTACGAGGGCAGCCTCAAATACCTCGGCCAATTGATCAGCTCCCACGAACCGATGGACACGGAAATTCAGCGCCCCACGAGGGCGGCATGGGCATAGTTCATTTCTCGCAAACAGGAGCTGACCAGTAAGCATTACCCACTGGTTCACCGACTCCGACTGTTCAAAGGCCACGAAGACACCGACAGCGTTATATGGCGCAGAGACTCGGACGCTGACGGGACCCTTTTTGCAGCACTTACGACGGACACAACGACGCATGCTTCTCATGATAATCGGAGCGCCGAAGCGACGCACACCAACACAACCAAACCCGTACAGCAGCTAAGGGACCATTGCTGACGACGTCACAGATAACGAAACGCCAGACAACGACCACTGCACCAACAGCACGCACGAGCGACGACGACGAATCGGACGGCAACCCGCTTCAGCGCGACACGCCTGCCACACCTGACATGCACAGCGAGGACGGCGAAGACAGGACCACAGTACACACGGTGGAAGATTGGTTTGGATACGTGCAGCGGGCGACACGACGCGCGAAACACCTCACGAAACTCCACCGCATCGACGGGTGGACGGCGGTGCGCAAGCAAAAGGCTGGGCGCATGGTTCTCGGAGTCGCAAGCCACGGCCGCACACGGCGGACATGGCGAGCGCTGGAATGGCAGCCGGGCCTCAACCCGCGCCAGCGGGGACAGGGGCAACACTTTCGCCAACGCAAGCATTGGGACAACGAAGTCAACACTTTCTTGCGCCAGCGCAAACCAGACCTCCACCGACCTCCCACACATGCCCACTCGAGAGGTGAACCAAGCGACGTCACACGGATGTGAAGGGCCCAGGACACCGAAACATGGACGGGATTCGAGCATCACTACACCGAGCCCGCACCAGCAAACACAGGACCAAGACCAATGACACGAACTCCCACTACCCACACCAACGCCGACACCAAGGACTTTTTCTTCCTCCCTCCCTCCATCCTCTCCCACACAGACACAAACGAGCATACCGTGCAGCACGCCGGCATCGACCTCCAGGACCTTCCTCCCCCTCCCTCTTCTCATAATTTGTTACAGTGTGTTTCGCATTGCATGTTGTACAGACACGCCAGGCTTCAGAGGCCAAGGCCCTGTCCACCTGGTCTTCGCTAGGCCCGAACGATGTCCGCAGCGGTGGTCGCATCGTATCGCATCGTATGCGAACCCCTTTTCGCCAAGGCTCGATTCGCATCGAAATGTCGGTCGGAACGCACCGTGGGATAGGTTTGAGGAGTTGCAGCATCGGCAGTGTCTGGCTTCCCGTTTTGAGGCCTCCACTGTCTTCCCGACGAAGGCTTTGCCCGGGAGGCCCGCCGCGCAGCAGCCCACCGGGCGATGCTTCGCGTGCTCGCGTCTGGGCCTGCTCGTGGGCGGCGGCGTCGCTGAGATGGGTTGGTCGTCCTCCCGGGCACCTCCTCCTTCCTCCTCCTTCTCCTTCTCCTCCTCCTCCTCCTCCTCCTCCTCCTCCTCCTCCTCCTCCTCCTCCTCCTCCTCCTCCTCCTCCTCCTCCTCCTCCTCCTCCTCCTCCTCCTCCTCCTCCTCCTCCTCCTCCTCCTCCTCCTCCCTCCTCCTCCTCCTCCTCCTCCTCCCTCCTCCCTCCTCCTCCTCCTCCTCCTCCTCCTCCTCCTCCTCCTCCTCCTCCTCCTCCTCCTCCTCCTCCTCCTCTTCGGGGGCTACGGCCCCACCGCCATCATCGTCTGAGGGCATGCGGCCCCACCGCCGGCGCCATCAGGGCGCGCGGCCGCGCGTCGGATGTCGGCTGCGGCTGTCGGCGCTCTCCTCGCCTCGCCTCCTCCCCCTCCTCCTCCCCCCTCCTCCTCACTCCTCCTCCTCCTCCTCCTCCTCCTCCTCCTCCTCCTCCTCCTCCTCCACCTTATCCTCCTCCCCCTCACCACGTCGTCTGGCGGCAGGAGCCTCTTTCGCTGGATCCCCCCCTTGTTTTTTGTTGATTCGTCATCCTGCATCATGACGGGTCCGCGCACCGCCTCGGCGCGGCGACCACCCCAGGCTGGGTGTCGCTCGAGGAGGTTCGGGGACGGCTGTCGCCAAGGACCGGCCACAAGGCTGCTTTTCTTGGTTCGGGCCTTTGTTTCGTTTTTGGTTTAAGCGCCTCGTTTCGTTTTGCGCGTCCTTTCGTTTTTCGTTTTGAGCGCCATTTCGTTTTGAGCATCGTTGTGGTCGGCCCCGGGTTTTCGCCGTGCTCGGCCCCTGGCCCCGCGGCCGCCAGATCTCGATCAGAGCTCGGAAACTGGTCAGGATGGACCTCAGGAGCCCTGGCTCTGGTTCCGCCGTACTTTTGGCTGGTTTTCAGATTTTTCACGGTGTCGAGAATGCGCCCCGAGTGATGCGAGTAGATGGGCGGAAACTTCCGATTTCCACAAAAGTGTGGAAAGGTAGGGCGGGCGTTTCCGAACGGCGGGAACGGCGACGGCAAGATAGGGGGGACATCGGCATCCGAGGAGCTCGAAAAGCAGGGCGGTCATTTCTGCAACTCGCACGACGCCGTCCAGATCACCG